CCTCTCCTTCATCGTCTCCCTCCTCCTCTCCACCTCCTCCACTCTCCTCCCAAACCCACTTTGCGGCCTCCTGCTATGGCGTTGCAAGATGTAAAAAATCAAAAAAGAAACGGACCAATCAAACAAACGGCACATACAGCCAAGATATGAGTGGTGTACGTTGCCACACATCAAGAGCCTACTGAATCAATCCTATCATATCCTTTTTTTTTCTTTTCTTTTTTTCTTCTTTTTTTTATCCTATCCTCTATCCTATCCACAAGAATTATTGAATGTTTTCATATCCCCTATCCTATCCTATCCTATCCCATATCCCCTATCCTATCCTATCCCGTATCCCCTATACTATCCTATCCTATCCCATATCCCCTATCCTATCCTTTCCTATCCCCTATCCACAGCGATTATTAACTACTATGTTATCCTATCCCTAACCAACCCTACCCTATCCTTTCCTCTCCTACCCTATCCTATCATATCCTATCCAATCCACTCCAGAAGGATTATTAAATGCTATCCTATACTATCCTATCCAATCCATAGGGACTATTGAATGGTATCCTATCCTAACCTATCCACAAGGACCATTGAACGGCATCCTGTCCTTTCCTATCCACACGGACTATTGAATCAAATCCCATACTATCCTATCCTATCCAATCCAATCCAATCCACAAGGATTATTGAACGGTATCCTAACCTATAGGATTGACTCAATTGTCCTTGTGGATAGGAAAGGATAGGATATCATTCAATAGTCCTTGTGGATAGGTTAGCATAAGATGGAACACCATCCAATTATCCCTGTGGATAGGAAAGGATAGGAGACCATTCAATAATCATATCCTCTCCTACCCTATCCACAAGGACTATTGAATCGCCTCCTATCCTTTCCTATCCACAAGGATTGAGTCCTACCCACAAGGATTGAGTCCCATCCACAAGGATCAATTCTTCCTTGTGGAGAGGAGAGGAGAGGAGAGGAGAAGAGAGGAGAGGAGAGGAGAGGAGAGGATAGGAGAGAAGAGGATTGATTCAGGAGGCCCTTGATGTCTGGCTACGTACACCATTCATCTGCAGGTTGGTCCCCATCATGTCCTCCTATCCACAAGGTGTGGATAAGCTGGAACCCTAAAAACCCCAAACCCTGATTTTTTATTGAACAACCACCCATCCAATCAGTATAAGGATAAGCTGAAAAATGCCTCATCGGATCAAAAAATGAATGATGGATCTGTTGTCATTTCGGATTCGGTTAACGGCGAACCTCTTTTTTTTTTTTTTTTTTTTTTTTTTTTTTTTTTTTTTTTTTGGGGGGGGGGCGAACCTTTTTTGCATTAATAGGTCCAGGGGAGGGAATCCCTCTCGGTGACCAGGGAGTAAATTGAAATTGCGAGATTAGGTAGGTAAACAAAAGCTTGGGTAAAAAAAAAAAAAAAAAAAAAAAAAACCTTGCGTAATCAAATCCGCACTCTGGATATTGGGCATACTGCAAATTCGACGTGCCGACAGCACAAGAGCACAAACGCCAGAAAAGGACAAGTGAAGGGAGATCGAGAGCACAAACTACCGTACCGTCTTCCGCCGAAAAGAACGTACTATGGTCATTAACGCGGCATCTGGACTAAAAGTTGCCCCAAATACAGGCATAATCAACGTGCATTCGAGTTCAGGTTTTAACCCCAGTTTGATACAGGCCGGTTGCCATCCGTTTCCTTATTTCTCCTGCTTGCAAAGAAGATGCACAGGAGAGCAGAATATGGACAGCACTGCGGCACAGAGGAAGAGGAGGAAGAGGAAGAGGAAGAGGAGGAGGAGGACGATTAAGGGAGAATGAGGAGCTAGTAGTGAGGAGGAGGAGGGAGAGGAAAACGAGAGGAGGAGGACGGTGGCGAAGGGGAGAATAAGAAGTTGGTAGTGAGGAGGACGGGGAGAGAGGAGGAGGAGGAGAGGAGGGGGAGAGGGGGAGGGAGAGGAGGAGGAGGAGGAGGAGGAGGAGGAGGAAGACTAAGACGAGAATACGGAGTTAGCACGCGGGGAGGAGTGAGGAGGACGAGAGAGGAGGAGGTGGGAAGAGGAGAGGAGAAAAGAGGATGAAGGGGAGGATAAGGAGTTGGCAGTGATGAGGCGGAGGAGTGGGAGGAGGGCGAGGAGGAGGAGGAGGAGGAATAAGAGGAGACTACGGAGTTAGCAGGTGGAGGATAAGGAGAAGGAGGAAGAGGAGGAGGGCTAAAGGCTGAGAAATGAGTTGGCGGTGAGCAGGAGGAGGAGGAGGAGGAGGAAGAGGAGAAGAGGAAGAGGAGAAGAGGAAGACTAAAGACAGAATATGGAGTTCGCAATGAGAGAGAGAGAGAGGGAAGAGGAGGCAGGGGGGAGAGAGGAAGACCGAGAAGGGAGGAGAGGAGAGGGGTCATATAAAGCAAGAGGAGACCAACCGTCTTCCCTGGAACAACACGCACACTAAATATGACTGTATGCGACCTGACTTGTAGCTTGTATACATTCATGATTAAGGTGCGGCCGGGGGAAAGACGGGAAGCTGGAGCAGAGGATGGCGAGGGAGAACAGACGGAGCCGTTTACTTCCCTTTCTTTTCTTTCTCTTTTTCCTTTTTTTTGGGTTAAGGGGAGCTGGTTTTGTGTACCTGCCCTGCGACTGAATGGTACACACATGTTCTTACTTTCGTAATAATCAGATCATGAGTTCAATTCCTGACCAAGTCATGGGAATCTGGACAATGCTATGGGAAGGCAGAGGGCGAACAAATGTGACCGCGAACAGGTTATCGGAACGTGGACACTCCGAAGGACCATTGGGATCCTAGACAGGGGATCTGGGACCAAACAGACAGAGCGGGACAGGATCTCTCTCTCTCTCTCTCTCTCTCTCTCTCTCTCTCTCTCTCTCTCTCTCTCTCTCTCTCTCTCTCTCTCTCT